CAGTGTAAGAATACAACAAATATTAACTGTTGACTGTCCTCTTAATGCAGTTTCCTCATATAGTGCATGCATTACCAACTTATCTTCATTGATACATCTTGTAATTTCATGTTTGAAAAAGGTAACGTTTTAAAGTCTAAAAATAGTAAGATGATTATTTTAAGTGGAACCACAATCTTGTTTATTTTTTTGATTCTTTCATAAAGAAGATACAGAGACAAACATCATCCCTAAACTAAGTTGAAATAGCTCAAATTTTGGTTAATGAGATTTTACTAAATAAATCCTTGACTTAGACAAACTTCAGCCAGGCTGGCAATAATATTTACTGTGACCAGTATGATGATACATTGAAAAACATGTCACTAGATGAAAATCAGTGTGGAATTCAGTGGAAAAAGAATACAATATAAAGGAAGAAATGTATGCAAAGTCCACAGTATTCATATTTTATCCTTTAAAAAGGTCTCAAGATCAAACTACCAAGGCCTGCTTTAGAAAGATTCCAGTCACTTTGAATTTGCTGTCTTTAAAGCAGTAGTTAGAGTTCAGTGTACCAAACTGCAGATTTGGGGGCCAATCTGAGATTTGGATTCAGTATGTCTGGGACGAGCCTGTGAATATGCACGTGTTAACAAGCACACCTGGCTGTTCACATGTGGAGCTTCTAGATCACCTTTGAAGACCACTAAAGTGTGCTCAGGAACTCGAATTCTAAGTTGAAAGATGACATTTCTCACTGGGGACTTGAAAGAAGCCGAAGTGGAGAGAAAAATGTAGAAGTAGATGTATAAGTTACCTTCACAGCAAAACTCTTGTTTTTAAATAAAATATCTAAACAGTATATACTTTCTTAAATTTTAGTAGTGGATTTAACTGTTTGGAACATGCGATGTAAATAAGAGGCTGTGTTTGTTGTTTAGGAATTTGGAAGCTCCAGAGATGCCAGTGTATTCTGTAAAGGGCCATAAAGAAATTATAAATACTATAGACGGTATAGGTGGGCTAGGAATCGGAGAAGGAGCGCCTGAAATTGTGACTGGCAGCCGAGATGGTGAGTCAACGTACTGTAGCTATTTAAAAAAAAGTTTTTAATGGAAATCTCTATGCAACGCTACATCCTCTGTACCTAAAAATCCCTTTCAGTTGCCTTGACCACCCAGATCTAATAATCTTGGTGCTACTTTTCTAATACGCAAATTCGCACATCCTTCAATTGTTTCAGACTTTTAGGTATTTTGAGATAGAGGCATAACAGTTACTATTTTAGTGTTGAGCTAGTTCAGCTCCTAACAGTGATGGTTTCCTCTAAACCTTGAAGGATTTAAAATGTCTTTACAGGTTTTTGAGGCAGCTGATGATATAATGTGGGTGGCCGCTTTTCATTTTCTTTTTTTAAAAGGCAGAATTAGTACTTGTGAAAATTGTCATATTGACAGCTGGTTGAAAACTGAAATTCTGTGATCCAGCCAGTGAGCATTATAGAGAGCTGCAAAGGCACCGACTCCACTCCTCTACCAACAAGAGACAGGGCCTTGGTGCCCAAAGCCATCCTGAATGACTCTCGGAGAGTCAGAATTGTCATTGCTTTACAAGGGGTACTTGAGAGATTTGGTTGATTTGGCTAGCTTTTTCATGGCTGCTCTCAAGACCATAAGGAAATTATTTTAAAAGAAAAGTGAGGTGTAATTTTCTAATAGGTATTCAAGAGCAGATGTGTCTTACAAGTCACTTTAATCATGAAAGCAATATGGGTTATAGAAGGAAAAATAACATGTAATCTACCACACTACTACAGTCATTAGATTTTTCTTTTTGTTTTGGGTCATATGTGTAATATTGCATTAATATAATTTTGTCTCTTTTTTTTTTTTGCCAGGGTTGGGTTTGAACCCACCACCTCCGGCATATGGGCCGGCGCCCTACCCTTTTGAGCCATAGGCACCACCCGATTTTGTCTCTTTTTTAATTTAATTTTTGTCATATGTAAATGTTGCTGTTTCCATACACTTTTCATAATTATCATTTTAATGATTACATAATCCATCATATGGCTATACTACTTAAGTAAGCATTCAGTTTGCTTTAAGTCTTTTGTTTATTGTTTTGGAAGAGTGGTTTAGAAATAATGAAGAAATGGCTCAGTGCCTGTGGCTCTAGCGGCTCAGGCGCCATCCACCTGAGCCCATACACCTGAGCTGGAGGGTTCGAATCCAGCCCTGGCCCACCAAACAACAAGGACAGCTGCAATCAAAAAAATAGCCGGGCATTGTGTCAGGCGCCTGTGGTCCCAGCTACTTGGGAGGCAGAGGTAGGAGAATCCCTTGAGTCCAGGAGTTGAGGTTGCTATGCGCTGTGATGCCATGGCCTTCTACCCAACGCAACAGCTTGAGGCTCTGTCTCAAAAATAATAATAATGAAGAAATGAGTATTGTCATATATGCAATTCTTTTGGAATAAACATATTTTATGATTCTTAAAATTCATTGGCAAACTTTCTGAAGTACTTATTTACACTTTCAGCCTCATGAATGTGAGGATGAAGTGGATTTCCATTCTACCTGCCAGCACTGATTTTCTCTTTCTCTCCTCTTATTTTGTAGATTAAAAATGGCATTCCATTCCAACTTGCATTAACTTCTATGTTTGTTTACTACTTAATTTTGTTTTGTGAATGGTCTGTGTATGTTCTTTGCTCATTTAACTACTGCAGAGTTACTGTAAATCTTACCAACTTGTATGAATCCTGCAGGGGTTTCTTTTTGGGGACAAGGTTCTTGCTCTGTTGCTTAGGCTAGAGTGCCGTGACATCATCTTTGCTCACTGCAGCCTCAAGCACCTGCCTCAGCCTCCCAAGTAGCTAGGACTTCTACAGGAGTGCACCACCATGCCCACCTAATTTTTGAAAAGATTTTGTAGAGATAAGGTCTTACTGTGTTACTCAGGCTGGTCTTGAACTCCTGGCCTCAAGCAATCTTTCCATCTTGGCCTCCCAAAGTGCTAGGAATACAGATGTGAGCCACTGTCCCTGGCTGTTAAAGCAGGCTTTTTAATGATCAACTTTATTTTATCCCTGAAGATAAATCTTCAGGAAAAGTGGAGGTTGCTATTACTCCTTTTTAGGATTTTTTGCCTTTTCCTATTGTCTCCGAGGTACTTGTCTTTTAGCCATTTTATTGCTGCATTTTCACTTCTCCTGGTAGTGATGCCATTTAGTTAGTAGTCCTGCAACACGAATTAAAATGAAGGGGTTGCAGTTAAACTGAGAAGTATTTGTTAATTTCATTCAATATTTCTCTCCTTACTATTGCTACAGGAAAATTAAACTTAGTGGCATATGAAATAGTATTCTAGAACCTCAAATAATAAGTCATTAATTCACAATTAGAATTCATTCACATCAATGGTTACATTGATAGTGAGGAGAAAAGTAAAAATCATAACACTGGTCTTCTTCCTAATAAATAACACATTAGTTCTGGCTCGTGATTTGAATTACATAACATTTGTGTTTCCCTGTCAGTCATAACTTGTAGATAACTTATGAACAGTTGTTGACAGTTCTGTGTATCTATTAATTTAGAAATCAGGTCAGACAGTAACATGTGGCTTATATCTCTGATATCAAATTCAACTTACCCAATTAGAAGTCAGAAAAATGTGATTATTTTTCAGTTGTGGTAACATTATAATATGGCCATGTACACTGGAAGCCATAGAGAAGGCAGTAAAGAAACATGATGTACTATTGAATTTTGTTAATTTACATTTTTATTCATGACAGGAAATGTGAAGGTGTGGGACCCAAGGCAAAAAGATGATCCCGTTGCTAATATGGAACCTGTACAAGGAGAAAACAAGAGAGACTGTTGGACTGTGGCATTTGGTAAATTATTGAAGAATTCTTGTATTAGATGGTAAAAAGTATGCTGCTTTCAAAAATTTTGATTATTTCTTTATAGTCTATTTTGTGGACAGTTTATTCAGGTAGATATGTCAGATAGTTATTCAGATAGTTAATGTCAGCCTCTAAGGCCTGGTTTGAATCCCAACCTGCTGTCCATTGGCTGTGTGGCCTGGGAAAGTTCTCTGTCCCTTGCTTGCTTCATTTATAAAGTGGAAATAATAATAGAATTGACTTATTAATGTTATTGTGAGGATTCATTGAGTTCATACATATAAAGTGCTGAAAATCGTGCTAGATTAAGAGCTCAGAAATACTTATTATTATGTGTTTCTGCTCAGTTAGATAATACTAGTTTAGAACCAAGAACTATTAATGCAGCTAAGCAGCGCCTCAAATGCAAATGGCAATGTAACAAATCTTGTCTTACACTTAACACAAAGTATGTCTATTTTCTACAAAATAGTTTTCCATTACAAAATTTTTTTTATAAATTTGATAACTGTGGTCTTTTACTAATAGACTTAAAATGAATATTGATTAGGACTAATAATTGCCCTTGAATCTCTTGCTCAGCATCAAAATTAAAGTAATTTTTGCTACTAATTAGATACAGACCATACTTAGTTGTGGTTTTCATTTATTTATTTATTTATTTATTTTTGTGCATAAGGCACAAGTGCAATTTCGTCATAGTCCTAAATTGGGTTATGGTCCAGTCAGGGCTTCTAAGCTATCTATCGCCTGAAATATTTAGTTTTGAAACTCTATTTTCTTCCCCCCCGCCTTACATAGTATGATCCTGTGACGATAAGGGGCATTAAAAGTGGGATTTACTGTATACCTGAACTGTTTAACTTCTTATGTTAGGGTTTAAATTAAACTGTTATTTAATCAAAGGAAAGATATATTTCTAATTTTTAAAAGAAATAGTACAGGAATTACAATGTATTTGTATGCTGTGAGCAATAATAAAAACTTAAGATACATATACTTTGTGGAGAAATTTCAAGATTAGTATTTAGAATGATCGTTTTTAAATTGGTATCATATGGGCCTGGCATGGTGGCTCAGGCCTGTGAACCTAGCACTCTGGGAGGCCAAGGCAGGTGGATTGCTTGTGCTCAAGAGTTGGAGTCCAGCCTGAGCAAGGGTAAGACTCCGTCTCTAAAAATAGCCAGACATTGTGGCAGGCACGTATAGTGCCAGCTACTGGGGAGGCTAAGGCAAGAGGATCATTTGAGCCCAAGAGTTAGAGGTTGCTGTGAGCTATGATGCCAGAGCACTCTAAGGAAGGTGACAAAGTGAGACTGGGTCTCAAAATAAATAAGTAAATAACATAAATAATTAGGTATCAATTTAAAAGTATTTTTAGATTCATTAAAGCTTTTACCTTGTTCATCTCAATTTAAAATAGAGGATTAAGTAAAAAAAAAACATTGATTTGAAATTGTTTTATGAATTTCAAGAATGTACAAAGTGCTATGGGCATGGAAGGGTGAAACAGACTCGTATTTTAACCTCAAGGACTTCATAGCTTAATAAAGAGGGCATGATATCTGTGTTAGTTATAATACAAGACAGGAGTGGCAGATGACAGGAGGCATGAATAATGCAGAAGGAATCCGGAGGAAGAGATGGTTAGAGAGGAAGAGTGTTTTGAACTCAGACCAAAGACACATAGGATTTCAGCCACTGAAATAGGGAGGACATTTCAAGTAAGAGGAATAATTGAAAAGTGCCCAAAAAAGTACAGTAGTCTCTTGGTATCTGTGGGCGATTCATTCCATAACCTCCCATAGATAGTAAAATCTGTGGATACTCAGATCTCTTATATAAAATATTGTAGTACCCATTTCAAGCCCTAGAAGAAGCCAAAAAAATTTACTAATTAATTAAAAAATAAAATGGCATAGTATTTACATATAACCATAATATATATATATTCTTTCCATATACTTTAAATCATCTAATACAATGTAAATAGTTATATTGTTTAGGGAATAATGGCAAGAAAAAGAAGTCTGTACATGTTCACTACAGATGCACATTTTTTTCCAAATATTTTTAGTCCATGGTTGTTTGAACCCATGGAGGTGGAACCAATGAATATAGAAGGAAATAATGGTAGGAGTTGCCTTAGAGATGCCTCAGTACCAGGACCAGAGGTGCTTTATTGGAAAGGTTTTTGTTTCAGAAAAATTTGAGCTTCAGGAAAATTACCTGGTGATATGTATTGGAGAGAGATGATTGACACAGGGGATATAATTTTTCAGGAGCTCTTTGCAATCTTCTGGGTAAGACATAGGTTATACGTGGGTTAATTATGAAAGTTTTGAGATACACAAAAATCAAGAAATGTAAAATCCTCACAGACAAAAACAAATGAAACCCTCCCAGCAACACTGATAAGCTGAGCAAGGTGAAACTGCACAGGTGAATCACGAAGGATGCCGTCGACTTTGTTTCTTGGAAGTGAAATAATGGACCATAACCCAGTCTGTTTCAAAACTTTCATAGTGGCACACATAAGCAGTGAGAATAGAGCAGAGCAGATAATTCAAAAGATAATATTGCGGTCACATACATGGACTTGGGCACTTTTTGCATCTGAAGAGCAAGGCAGAGGACTATGTCCAAGATGACTGTGTTTTGAGGGTGATTGTGGGGTTAATGATACTATTACTTGAGAAAGGTCCACAAGGGGGAGAATGGTTTGGAAGGAAGGGAGTGAGGTCAGTTAGGGCATCATGAATTTAAGATGCTGCTGTGCCATCTAGGTGGAGCCCAGAGTGGAGATGCCGGGCTGTAGTTTGTGAGAAAGAAGAAGCTGGAGACAGTGGAGAATGAAGGCACTGGGGTAAGATGCCCAGATAGCCTAGCACAGTGACAGGGGACTCATTCTCACTTAGCATTTTATCCTCAGCAAGAGGGACTGAGGGGAAAAGTCCTTAGATTCCATACTCTAGTGGTATGATCATCCATACTACTAAAAGTGTGTAGCACAGTGTGCTACAACTTGTTTCATATTTCCTTGCAAAGACTGAATCACACCAGAACAACATTTTGCAAAATAAATAGGTTTTAAAGTAGTTTCTATTTGCATTCAAATATAGCTACTGCCAAGGAAAGCAACAGAAGCATAAGCCGTATCTATCTTCCCAGACCCCACTGTGTTTGAACGGTAGTTGGCCCGCTAGTCTTTGCAGACATAGTTGAGAGAGAGTGCTTTCTTTCAAGTTAGAATCCAGTGGACACTTCTGCATAACCCTTCAGGATAGAATTTCAGTGAATGAGCTTTTCTTTTATTTCTTTCTTTTTTTTTTTAGAGACAGAGTCTCACTTTCTCGCCCTTGGTAGAGTGCTATGTTGTCACAGCTCACAGTAACCTCCAGCTCTTGGGCTTAGGCAATTCTCTTGCCTCAGCCTCCCAAGTAGCTGGGACTACAGGCTCCGGCCACAATGCCCGGCTATTTTTGTTGTTGTTGTTGCAGTTTGGCAGGGTCGAGTTTGAACCTGCGACCCTCAGTATATGGGGCTGGCACTCTACTCACTGAGCCTCAGGCACCATCTGAATGAGCTTTTCTTGTAATAAAAATAGATACCAAATTAATAATCTTGATGTCCTACCAGAATTGATGAAATAGGATTCTACCCAATGTAACTTTTTAAAATCTGATTTAAGCTATAGTAACTTTAACTGTATAGTTTCATACCAGTCTTTAATTTAGCATTTATAAAATATAGAATGTTGTATCTTGATTTCCAGGCAATGCTTACAATCAAGAGGAGCGTGTTGTTTGTGCTGGCTATGACAATGGGGACATCAAACTGTTTGATCTCAGAAACATGTCATTACGGTGGGAGACAAACATAAAAAATGGGGTAATGCACGTTCCAATGCTTTTGGTCTCTGAACATGTTTCTGTCCACCCGTGAACTACTACAGGAAAGCACTTCTGTTAATTCATCTCAGTCAACTCCTCTTCCAATGGTCTTGAACCTTTCGGAGCTAAACCCCTTTGGGAATCTAATGAAGACCGTGCATTTTCTGAATCCTCTCTTCAGAAAGTGGGCCCACACCCACTTTGTGTACGTACAATGTGGAGGGAGTTACCAGTCCCAGAGACCCATCTGTGGACCCCTGTGGGCCATGCCCTATAATATCAGAATGAGCATGGAGAAGTGTTTCTACCTGCTAATATCAAAAAACCTGAAATAGTAGTCACCCCCTATGTGCCCTCAGATTTTTGGTTCCTGAGTTGTACACCTTTACTGAAGAATATAGTCTCTTTTTTTTTTTCCTGTAATCAGACTTGATTTAACTGTATTAAATAATGTAGAAAGTTAAATGATCACTTACCAAATGCATCCACTGAGCATGGGAACCCAAGATGGTTTTGTTGATCTTATCAACCCAGAAGAAATTTTACAGTAGCAGTACTTGGTGTACTGATTCAAAAGTTGAAATGATTGTTTAAGTACTTCTCACGTGACCTAATCATTTGAAAGCTATTTTTCTTAGTTTAAAAGAGACTCCTGAATAATAATGGTGAGACTGTCAATAATAAATATTCTCTATTTTCAGGTGTGTAGCTTGGAGTTTGACAGAAAAGATATAAGTATGAATAAGTTAGTAGCCACATCTCTGGAAGGAAAGTTTCATGTTTTTGACATGAGAACACAGCATCCAACCAAAGGTTTTGCGTCTGTTTCAGAAAAGGTAAATACGAGGAAAAAATCTTTCTGTGAAGAGGAATGATGGCTTATTTGAGACTAATAAATAGAATTAGTCACCAAGGTTCCTTCCAGGTCTTTATGTGAAGGGAGCTATTTTTGATATATTATCGTGGGATCATGACAAGTTTTTCTGTGCAAAGAGTACTTTCCCAAAGTTTATCAACTATAGACATCTTGATTATAATAAGGCTGGCAGTTGGCTAAGAATCTGATTTTATGGTTTAGCAGCAATCACAAGAAACCCAGCTGACATTAGGAGTTTGATCAACAAAATCCAGCCTGGTATCTTCTCATAAATATATAGTATTTGTATTAATACCTGATTATATATTTCAAAAAATATATCAATATAGGGCGGCACCTGTGGCTCAAAGGAGTAGGGTGCCAGCCCCATAGACCGGAGGTGGCGGGTTCAAACCCGGCCCTGGCCAAAAACTGCAAAAAAAAAAAAAAAAAAAAAAATATATATATATATATGTATATATCAATATATATGGTATGTCATTTCATCACATCTTATTTTGTATCTCAATTTGCTATATTAAAATTATTTGAAACACCGATTACTGTGATTAATACATAAGAGGTGCTCAAAAATATTGATTTATGTATTTATATTTTGCCTTGTATATGAGGTAGCTGAGGGGGAAGCATGGTATTACTACATTAGAAAAATAGAGGAGAAAAGCAGGGCAGAGGGAAAATACTGGTTTTTTAAAAAAGATAATGTCTAGAGTGGGGGATTATGTGAAATTCGTGCTGAGATGTGCTGTCACGAAGTATGGGTTGGAAATGTGACTCTGAGATTCCTCAAGTATAAAAGGAAAGATCAGTTACAGATTCATGGTTTACATAAGATGAAAATGTTTAAGTTGCTCAGGAAGTAAGAATTTACTCTCTGCTGTGGATTCAGCAAAATTTCTCTAACTTTTCCATTTTATCTCATTTTATTATCATTATTATGTATAACTTACTGTCATTGCCTGAAAAACTAAATTTTTAACATGTAGCTATAAATTGTCATATTGTTTTATGTTTGTCATTTCAGAATCTATTAAGTATCAACAACATACAAAGCTTTACTAAATTCTTTCATATATAATTTGCAACATACATATTTCTCATTTTCTGTAAATACTATTGTCATCTCCTAAATTTTTTTGTTGTATTTAGTTAATCCTGTAATTGCTAACTCTGTCAAATAAATAACTCTTACATGTTTAAAGAGATCATTTTCACCATTGCTTTTTGTGTTTTTCTCAACCTCTAAAAGAAAAAGAGAAGTTTAAGGTATAAAGCAAAGTAAGTTTCAACAGCTTGAATCTAATCACTTGGGGAATCTCACACATTTCAAACGTGTTTTGAGATATGTGTTTATATCCGTTAATGTTTATCTGCTAATGTTTTCATCTGCTCATTCTCTCAAAAGACGGTTTCAATCAAAGGGACCCGCGCCCCTTTAGCCAGCCCTACTGCTTCTACAAAGCAGAAGTCACTCTCTTATCTCTTCCTTCTTTCTCTCCCTCCCCCCTCCTTCCCCTGCTCCAAGTTCCCCCACCGTGAATATAGCACTACTGAGTGGGTTTACTGGCTGCTGTTGAGGTGCTAACAAACCTCAACTGTCCAGTTGCCCATTGCCCAGGCTTATTATGACAGTAAACACTGTCTGTTAAGTCCTCAGGGTCTTTATTCTCAAGACCAGACAAGTCAGATGACAAGATGAGGCTCTGGGAGCTGGAAGTTAAAATTCAGTCTGTAAATGGGACCTCTCTATATTTTCTGCTCAGTTTTGCTGTGAACCTGAAACTGCTCTAAAAGCTAAAGTTTGTTGTTTTTTTTTTTTAATTCAGTCTGTTCTACCATGGCCTCTGCCCTTAGGAAGAAGTATTTATTTTTGTATTTCAAGTGTTTTTTCCCCTTTAAAATAAACTGGACATATTTAAATGTATAAAATCTGTTGTTATAATTTATATGGTGCAATAAAATTAAGTGGACTTTTAATCTAATACCTCTCTTTCTCCAGAAATCAGTAGAACTTTGTTTTGTAAGAAAGGTAACAAAGAAAAAGGATGCTTTTTCTAATTTCTTAAGGGCCCCTGTACATCACTGTAACCACTGTAAAGCGATGTGCCAGAAAATGCCTTTAATTACTTTTGTAACATTTGAAATTGTAGCAAAAATTCTTTGTTTGCTTTGTTTTTGAAAACAAAAACAAAATTTTTGAAAACAAAAATTTTTGAAAACAAAAATTCTTTGTTTTCCAGGGCACCAGTTAGCATGTAAACAGTTGTGTACTCTCGTCCTATTTAGGCTCATAAATCGACAGTCTGGCAGGTGCGACACCTGCCACAGAACAGAGAGCTCTTCATGACAGCGGGAGGCGCCGGCAGCCTTCACCTCTGGAAGTAGTAAGTGCCTCCCTGTGCACAGCGCTCCTTTTTCAGTTCTTCGTGGGTGTAAAGTAGGATTAGATTGAACTTTTCTTTTTTTTCTGCTTTTACTTAGTTCATTTTGATAGGATTTTAAATTTCATGGGGTTACATAACTGTTGTTGTTTTCTAAGTATTTTTTTTAATGTCCCTATTTTACACTTAGTAAATGTTAACCTTTTTTGGCACACTAAATATATTTGCCATTTTCATTATGTCTGCTAATGAGTAGCCTAGGAACAGCATTTTTTTATAATTTCGAAACAGATTTGAAATTATAGCTTTTTCTAGTGTTAGTATGAAAAAGTTGGCCTTAGACATTTATCAATAGTATCTTCTAGTTATTAGAACACCACGTCTAGACAGTAGGAAAAGATTAAAATTTTTAGTTTTGGATCCTGATAATTCACTTGCCTAAATTCAGATAACATCATTGTGATAGGGACCAAACAGAGCCTGGCATTCCTGACTGTCTCCAGGTAAGACCTTGCCCCTGAGCTTGCTGTCTGCATAGCAGGCGGGGTGAGCTGCAGTAAGAGCTCTTACCATGCACTGCACACTGTGGGTCCCAGGGGCCCTAACATCAATGTCAGCCACTCATTTAAAAGGTCTGATAATAAAAATCAGGAGTTAGTGGTATTTCTGAATACTTCATTAGCTAAGCAATGTATGCTTGGAGGGAAAAGATAAAATCTTTCTCTAAACATCACCCAGGGGGGAAAAATTAGCATAAGCCCATAAATGAAGGCTATTTCAAAAATTAAGTTTGATTAGTAGTGTGAGAAGAAAAACACCATTTTCAGTGTGTCTAGTACTTCACATTTACGAAATCCATTTATTTCATCTTTCTTTTGGTATTTAATTTTTTGAGATGAGAGTTTTGCCCTGTTGCCCTGGCTAGAGTACAGTGGCATCATCCTGCAATCTCATATTCTTGAGCTCAAGCAATCCTCTTGCCTCTGTCTCCCAAGTAGCTGAGGCTGCAGGCATGCTACACTACCCTACCTGGCTAATTTTTACAGTTGTTGGTAGAGAGGGGTCTTGTTCTTGCTCAGGCTGTTCCAGAACTCCTGAGCACAAGCAATCCTCCCTGATTGTCTTTGTAATCCACACATAGATTTGTATTCCATGTGACATGCACAAAATTAGGAGGTAATAGTTAATGTGAAAATATATTGAGTATTTAGCCAGGAGTTACTAGAGGAATTCATCTGGTTATTCAAAATTCTTTTTTTTTTGAATGAATAGACCCCAACAGGCTGACTTTTTTGAGTATTCAGAACACACATACTTTTAAAACTTTAATAAATAATGTGGAGGGTTTGAAAAAGCCTTTATATTTTAAATACTGAATTATTGCAGCCTTTGCCAAGAAACATATGGAGAGTCTGTATTTAAATTATTTACTCATCTGGATGTGTTAGTTCTTTTAATCAAAATAATTTATAGGGTCTGAGAGGATAGTAGAAGAGAGAATAGTAGGTTATCTACCTGTAGCTTCTCTCATTTTTGCTCTGCCTCTCATTTGTTACATATTTCTTAAAAGCTTGACCTTTGACTCGGTGCCTGTGGTTAAGTGGCTAAGGTGCCAGCCACATACACCTAAGGTGGCGGGTTCAAATCCAGCCTGGGCCGCCAAACAACAATGATGGCTGCAACCAAAAAGTAGCTGGGCGTTATGGCGGGTGCCTGTGGTCCCAGCTACTTGGGAGGCTGAGGCAGGAGACTCGCTTAAGCCCAGGAGTTGGA